AGATTGAAGACTATTAATCATGAAGTAATGGCAATACCTTTTTTCAGAGACTTTCCATTTCTTGAACCTCAGCCACTATCTCAGTCTCAACCACCCACACTTCAATCTCTATGGGATTCACTTACATAAGGCCTTGTCACAACCGACTGTCTTGATGTGAGGCCTACGCCTACCTTCTTTCGTTCAGGAGAAACTCAATCCTCGACTGATTTCCCTAATTAGGACTAATTAGGGATTCAATCCCATGGTCTTCGAGACATCTCGTTCAGGACGTGTAACTTTAGGCCAATCGTTGGCCTATACCGGTTCTCACAAACCATATCGGTGCGGGCCTTAGAAGGTTATTCTTATCTGGAGTTCCTCGAACCATCTTGACTAGTTTTGAGGAGAAAATGGCTCTAGGATACATGAAATACAAGATGGACGCCATCCTGTCATTTCAGGAATATCCGTGTAAATTATCTCCATATGCCACTGCATCAATTGCCCACTGCTAACCACCGTTGTAATCTCAGCTTACCTCATGAACTCAGCACAAAAATGTAAAATGTAATCCTTGGAGTGGTGTGAATGCTAGACACATGCAATTTAAAAAAAAAAACGATTCCAATTTTCCTTGTCTTACCTTTGCTTGTGTCCGCGGCGATTTCTTAGTGCGACGAGCCAATTGCCCTGGTGTTGCAAGAGTGCCACATTTTGGAAGGTGCGACACCCATTAGTATTCCGGTCAATACCATTACTCTTGCAGCTTCGGAGTCTAGCCTTTTACTCTTTCCTGAAATATTAATGAGTGTCAGGTCGATGCTAAAAGCGTAATTATCATTACTTCATGAAGCATCAGGTAAATCCATCAAAAGCAGTTTTTCTGTTTCTCTTCCCAATGCCATTGCGGCAATATGGTGATGGGGGTCCCAATTTCCTGGACAATGGGGCGTAAGAGTCCTCGCATAGCCATAGTCGAACCATTAAGTGGAAATGAATGTTTCATGGGTGCCAAACTTCCTTTTTATGCATGCTCAAAGAAAACGGGAAAGAAGGCGTGGATTTCAAGCGTTGGTATGCTTCATCATATGGTATTGCCTTCATGGTGGTTTGAACATTCCATGTCTTCTTATCTTTTCTTATATTCTTATATTCTTCGTGCATTCATGTCCAAATGAGTTTTAATGAGAAGTTGGCGTTGATGTAACAGATCAGGATAAAAATCCACTTATGCTGCACCAAATCAACCATGTTGATAGATTTATTTCTCAGAAAAAATGATAGAAGAAAAGAATAAAAAGACAAATGCGGTCATTTACAAAACGTATCTATAACTAAGCCGATCAAATATCCATAGTATAAAGTTCACACACATTTCACTTGAAATCAGCTAAACATGAGACTTTTGTAAAGAATGGTAGCCTCCACTCCTCCTTTGGTCTGAATTGACGCCATACAAGCAATACAATCTGCCGATATATTACCATTTCTAATCGACACTGCAAACCTATCTACCCTTCCTCAGATCTTAGCAACTATTCGTAAAGCTATCATGTGCCAACAGATCCAGAACTTTCCCGGAAACTTAAACAAAAATTGAAGAAGAGGATGACATTCCCATAATGAGAGTTTTGGGAAGTTCGCANTACGTATTCTTGATATTCAAGTGTCACATTAAGAAAAGTTTTCTTACCAGAGACACTGAATGCGCTCTGTGGTGTTCCAGGTAGAAAATGAAAGAATAGACTTGAGAGGATGGCGCTTTTAAACTACGAAAACATCAGGTCCCAAAATTAACTTGGAGAAAAACGTTTCGGATAAATACTGCCTGGCATGCCAACGTAGATATAGAAGAAGGCAATGTAGACATCCATTAGTCCCTGCATGCTGGCATGTACGTAACCTGGAAGAAATCGACTCACTCATCGCATATGGATCAATTAACCTGATAGGCATGGAAAAAGGGCGAAATTTCAGTTTCAATTCCTTTACGATCTGGGAATAAGGAACTAAAACTCTGTTATTCTCTGATTATAAAAGTAGCAATCTGGTTTCCAATTTGATGTCAGGAACGTTCCTTTCCTTGACAGAAAACGAGGACTTGGTGTATCCATGCACGAAACAACATTTATTGAACATTTAAAAATAAAATTCATAATGAACTTGAATCAATTCATAAAGTTCATTATCAACAGAGATTTTCTTAAGTTTCAAATTTAGGAAACACACTGAGAACAAAATGGAACAACAAAGCGCAGGATGTAGGAATTTGCGACGTGTTCTCAACTGATATTGGAAAATCGTTAGTAAGTCACGACTGTGTGTATAGAAGGTAATGCAGCAAACATTAGATACGATTAGCGGACCTGGCTATTATGACATGCGGACTTGTTGAACGCGCTATTTTGAGTCGACTTTCTGCGCCCAGTAGGAGTTGAGATGAATTATCTCCCTGCTCAATTTGAACTCATCATGCAGACAATTCTCAAGGTCGATGAGTGGATGATGAATTGCATAAGAAAATCCCTTATTTTCTGTGTAGTTCTTTACTCTTCAGAGAGTATCTCACGTCCTTGCAGAGTTGTCCTGTGGTATCTTTTATTAGGGCTTATTGCGAGATTGAAGGCTATTAATCATGAAGTAATGGGAATACCTTTTTTCCGAGACTTTCCATTTCTTGAACCTGAGCCACTATCTCAGTCTCAACCGCCCACACTTCAATCTCTACGGGATTCACTTACGTAAGGCCTTGTCACAACCGACTGTCTTGATGTCAGGCCTACGTCTACCTTCTTTCGTTCAGGAGAAACTCAATCCTCTACTGTTTTCTCTAATTAGGACTATAAGATTCAATCCCATAGTCATCGAGACATCTCGTTCAGGACGTAAAACTTTAGGCCAATCGTAGGCCTATACCGGTTCTCACAAACCATATCGGTGCGGACGTGGAAGGTTATTCTTATCTGTAGTTCCTCGAACCATCTTGACTAGTTTTGAGGAGAGAATGGCTCTAGGATCTATGAAATACAAGATGGACGCCATCCTGTCATTTCAGGAATATCCGTGTAAATTATCTCCATATGCCACCGCATCAATTGCCCACTGCTAACCATCGTTGTAATCTCAGCTTATCTCATGAACTCAGCACAAAAATGTAAAAATGTAATCCTTGGAGTGGTGTGAATGCTAGAAAAAAGCGATTCCAATTTTCCTTGTCTTACCTTTGCTTGTGTGTCCGCGGCGATTTCTTAGTGCGACGAACCAATTGCCCTGGTGTTGCAAGAGTGCCACATTTTGGAAGGTGCGACACCCATTAGTATTCCGGTCAATACCATTAGTTTTGCAGCTTCGGAGTCTAGCCTTTTACTCTTTCCTAAAATATTAATGAGTGTCAGGTCGATGCTAAAAGCGTAATTATCATTACTTCATGAAGAATCAGGTAAATCTATCAAAAGCGGCTTTTCTTTTTCTCTTACCAATGCCATTGCGGCAATATGGTGATGGGGGTCCCAATTTCCTGGACAATGGGACGTAAGAGTCCTCGCAGAGCCATTATCGAACCATTAAGTGGAAATAAATGTTTCATGGGTGCCAAACTTCCTTTTTATATATGCTCAAAGAAAACGGGAAAAAGGCGTGGATTTCAAGCGTTGGTATGCTTCATCTTATGGTGTTGCCTTCTTGGTAGTTTGGACATTCCATGTCTTCTTTTCTTTTCTTATGTTCTTATATTCTTTGTGCATTCATGGCTAAGTGAGGTTTATTGAGAAGTTGGCATTGATGTAACAGATAATTGATCAGGATAAAAATCCACTTACGCTGCACCAAATCAACCATGTTGATAGATTTATTTCTCAGAAAAAATGATAGAAGAAAAGAATAAAAAGACAAATGCGGTCATTTACAAAACGTATCTATAACTAAGACGATCAAATATCCATAGTATAAAGTTCACACACATTTCACTTGAAATCAGCTAAACATGAGACTTTTGTAAAGAATGGTAGCCTCCTCCTTTGGTCTGAATTGACGCCATACAAGCAATACAATCTGCCGATATATTACCATTTCTAATCGACACTGCAAACCTATCTACCCAAGGAGTCTAGAATCGTTGATAAGCATTTCGATAGTACACGGTTGTCTAGGTCTTGAAAGGGCCTTTGAATTTGTTTTTAACTTCTTCTCCTACTGTAAGGGTATTACTCTCAAAACCCTTCAAGCGTCTCCGATATGCCCCTCCCTCCTGCTTCGTCATAATTCTGTAAATGTTTTGAACCCCCCAAGTTGTTCAGCACAATGCCAAGAAGAGTCTCCCTTAAAAAAATTATGCAAGCCGTACTTTAGTAGCCGATATTTTAAGTACTATGTTCAGTTCTATGTAATGAAGCAGTTACTAGCTTTCTTCAATGTCAAGGAAACTGCTTCATTTTCTAAAGGTGACTATTTATTCATTAAATTTCACTCCAACTCGTAAACTCAGAAGTCAAGATAGTAATATGTAGCACTAGACCATACCTGGGTCTCATGCATCACATGATTAGATATTTCAAGGACACTTTCACTCAATCGATGGTGCCTTCAATTGAAATGAGGCGTACATAATATAATGATAACTTAATTGATGCGTGCCCAACACTTGGAGGGAAGGATTTAAAGGAAGAGAGAAACAAGCGATTCCACAGGACTATTCTACTCTTGAAATACCTGAATGATCTATGAAACGCTATGTATAATGGTATAAATATATGTCACGTTCGGAACATAATGAAAAAACTGGAGAAGATTATATGACTTAAAAAATGAAAAATATGACAAGTATCTGGTATTTCCTGATCATGTTACTCTTCCCTGGTAGCTATTAATTTAAATAGCAAATGGAATAGATGAAATCAATAGAATCGTCCATGTCCAAATAATGGGACGATATCTACCTGCTGGGAAATGAGAGTGAAGCTCGTGTATTAAAAGTGACGATGACACGAGCAAACGTGCATGTTCAAAGCTAAACCAAATCATTAGACATGATGAGAGAATACAAGATCAAATCCAGCTTTCCTAGTTTCCTTCAGGGATGGACGATTATAGACTGGAGGATCTCCCAAACGAAACTCTCCTTTTGGAGGAGACTTCTTTCTCGACTCTTCCTCAAGATCTCCACCCGTCCCTGCCAGGCCAATGGGAATAAAAGAAATAGCGATGATTTTCGAATTGTTTTGAATTTGAATAGCTTCATCTCACGTGTCAAATTTATTGTACATCCCAACTTACAGCTGAGAATGACTCTTCTTTTGGGCCCCATTCTGTTATGCCTGGGCTTCCTCCAGCTATACAAGATGATGTCGACGATCCACTCTAGCATTTCCAGAACAGAGACGAAAGACATCCCGGTGTAGAGACCCAGCAACCCCCCGAATGTACCGATGAAGCTCGACCACTATTGAAGCAAGTTTTAACACAGACATGGTTTTTTAAAGCTATTTCGGGGGAACGTTCATTTCCGGGCCACCCTTGAAAATGTTCGACTCACCGGGTATAGCAGCATCTCCGTGGTTTTCTCCACTGACATGGTTTCATAGAATACTTTCAGCACAGCTACCTGCGCGCTGCACGTAAAAGTTAATAAGAAAATTATTTTAGCTCCAATTTCATCTCTTTGGATGCGAAATGGTGTTACAGCGTGGTACTTTTGGAATGGAATAGAGAGTGATTCCATCTCATTATACGCATATCATGTTTTCTTGAATTTGATTTCATTGCATAGTAAAAATGCAATGTTTCCCTACTGGATATTAATTCTTGAGTTTATTTCCCTTCATACGTTTCAGATGAAATAAACGGAGAAATATTGTGTTGCAAATTCAAAGTAATGCTATTTTGTGCTTATTATTCATTTACATGCCATTTAAGACGTAAAAAGTAGAAATAACAGCTGTATTTCCTTCTTTTCTTTAAAATTCACAATGGCAAATGCGAACATGTGCATTATTAAATATCTATTAAAGTCTAAATACGTTCCAACTAGAAAAATGAGTATTCTCTTTGTTTTTTTTTTTAACTTTGACCTGCCAAAGGAGGATGAATACCATATTTCATGGTGGTCATCTATATTATTACATCACCTTAAGATTTTGCAATTTTCTTAGTACCAATTGCATGGCTGATGAGATGCATGGTTGCATTGTAATACGACACGATTTGATTTTCAAATCATTTAAATTCATAAGTTGAAATAAATAATTGCCCTTCAATCAGATTTTTCTCACATCATAATGGAAATGTTAAAATGACAAGGTAACTCTGGCAGTTATGTTTGGCCCCCGTTTCAAGTTTTTAATGAAATATACTGTTGTGACTACAGACTTGGAACGATGACAGTATGTCCTGTTATTGAACTCAGTTTCTTCCGTATCATTCAATTCCTTCTTCAGCCAAGCAGCGAAATTTAGAAGCATGGAGTCGTGACGACCCAACTGAGTCGTCGCCACTGACCACTCCAAGGATTTGTCCCTGGAAAAAAGAGAAAATGTTTCATTTTCGAATCATTTTAATCTTTTGGGTTTAACGAGACATGGAGATTGAGTCTCACAGGCAACGTTGAGGAGGGCAGCTACAGGAACTATCGGCTTGCTGCTCCTTCCTTCTGATTTCCAATGTGATTTGTGAGTCATCTGTGTTTCCAGAAGGAAGTAAAGTAAGAACTTTATTGTCACTTTGTCGATTTAATAATTTCACGTAAAACGTGTGATTACTATGAACCTAACCTTAGTATAATGTGGATGTCTGTTTTGACAGGAGTACAAGCCGTTGAAGACGTAACCCCAGTTTATTTAGACGTAATGATAGACATATCTCTACTGTGCAAAGTTTCATTAGAATTCATCCGACAGTTTTGACCCCAATGATACAACTTCAACTTTAATCCCTCTTTTAACAAATTAAATATTCGCCACATCCACAAATGGATTTAATCACAGTCTGCAGTCGCCTATGCATGGTTTTAATTACATTTCGGCGTGTTTCTTCATCTATCTTTCCCCACCCTTTTTGGACCCGCTCCCACACCTCCAATATAACTTTGGGCGTTTCCTCGTCCTTGTTGAGGCGCTACTTGAGGAGTGCCCAGAGATGCTCGATGAGATTTAGGTTTGGAGGCTAAGGTGACCACTCCATGACCTCGAACGGCAGTTGATTCAGCCACTGCCAGACACATTCCGCCTGATGTTTCAGGTCGTTGTATTAAAGTGCATTTTGCACACTAATGATACTTGGATTGGAATCATATTACACCTACAGACAAAACTGTCCTCATGTTCGGCAACTTCTGCATTGGGGTCAAATAAATCTGCATTACTATCTGTATAGCCTACTGTGCAAAGTTTCATTAGAATTCATCCGATAGTTATGGGAAAATCTCACCCGAGTGCAAATCACTGCATAAAGACAGTTTTGACCCCAATGCTACAACTTCAACTTTAATCCCTCTCTTAACAAATTAAATATTCTCCACATCCACAAATGGATTTAATCACAGTCTGCAGCCGCCTATGCATGGTTTTAATATCATTTCGGCGTGTTTCTTCATTTATCTTTCCCCACCCTTTTTGGACCCGCTCCCACACCTCCAATATAACTTTGGGCGTTTTCTCGTCCTTGTTGAGGCGCTGCTTGAGGAGTGCCCAGAGATGCTCGATGAGATTTAGGTTTGGAGGCTAAGGTGACCACTCCATGACCTCGAACGGCAGTTGATTCAGCCACTGCCAGACACATTCCGCCTGATGTTTCAGGTCGTTGNCTTGTTGAGGCGCTGCTTGAGGAGTGCCCAGAGATGCTCGATGAGATTTAGGTTTGGAGGCTAAGGTGACCACTCCATGACCTCGAACGGCAGTTGATTCAGCCACTGCCAGACACATTCCGCCTGATGTTTCAGGTCGTTGATATGCTGGGAAATAACTTTGTTGACGTCGAAATATCGGTCGATCGTTTGCAACATTTCATCCCCAGGAATGGATACATACGAGGTGTGGCTATTAAGTTTCCAGACTTTTATAAATAAAAAAATTTTTTTTTAAACTTACAAATTAATCACATTCATCGCCTTCAAAGTACTCCCTTCCAGAACTGATACATTTATCCCAAAGATGCTGCAATTGCTGGAAACAGCGGTGGAAGTATTCTTTCGGGATGTCTTTCAGAGCCTGCGTCATATTTGTTCGAAAGTCTTCAATGCTTTGAAATCGGTGACCTTTCAAAATTTTTTTGAGTTTGGGAAACAGTCAAAAGAGTCTGGGGGCTAAATCGGGTGAATACAGTGGGTGATCCATTTCAGTGATCCGTTTGGCGATCAAAAACTCCCGGGCAGACAGCGTTGTGTGAGCCGGCGCGTTATCGTGATGCAGGATCCACGAATTTTCCTTCCACCGATCGCCGCTTCTCCTTCTCAAATCCTCACGCAACCTCTTCAAAACGTTCATGTACAACACCTGGTTGACTATTTGCCCAAAAATTTTACATTAGTTCTCTGCTCGAGGTTACACTCCATTTCCAATCCGCCAGGCTGTGTGTTTTATGCCAGATGGAATTGCCAGCGTCGAGCGTCGCGTGACCAGTCTGGTGTGACTTTGAACGGGTCAATAATCGATTCCGAGAGGGGGTACAATGTTAGTATAGGGGTGAGGGGGGGTCTCTCTCAAAGTTGAGCAATCAAACCAGTCTGGAAACATAATAGCCACACCTCGTACAGCTGCTGTTCAATGGTGCCGTTCACCATGCAAATGTGGCCAGCTCCCTTTGATCGACATGCAGCCCTAGATTATGATCGAGCCACTACCGTGCTTGACACTCTACTTGATGTGTCGAACTAGCCGAAGATTCACCTCACACTTCCAGTACCGTGCGCGTCCATCTGAGGCAAAACGCTTGATCTTGGTCTCATCCGTCAAACTGAAACGTTTCCATTCATCAATCGTCTAATGCATGTGACTTCTGGTGAACTGCAGGCAGGCCTTGATATCTGCTGACGGGAGTTTTGGCTTTTATTCCTTGTTTGCTGTATTTGAACCAGATTCGTGGAGGGCATGGGAAATAGTCTTGACTCTAACTTCGACTCCCACCATCCCTGAAATTCTTGGTGACCTGCATGACTGTTTCCAGCTCACCAAAGGTGACGACATGGAAGTAGAATCGCTTGTCTTGAGATGAAAGCTTTTGGGGACAACCGCCGTTCGACCCTGTGCGGTGAGGAAAATGCTGCTTCTGGATCTTTTGGACAGACGATCTTCCGACGTTGCATTGCTTCTCAATCTACCTGAGGCTAGCCCCCAAGGAGAAGCGTGAGGACGTTCCGCAGGNAACTTCTGCATTGGGGTCAAATAAATCTGCATTACTATCTGTATAGCCTACTGTGCAAAGTTTCATTAGAATTCATCCGATAGTTATGGGAAAATCTCACCCGAGTGCAAATCACTGCATAAAGACAGTTTTGACCCCAATGCTACAACTTCAACTTTAATCCCTCTCTTAACAAATTAAATATTCTCCACATCCACAAATGGATTTAATCACAGTCTGCAGCCGCCTATGCATGGTTTTAATATCATTTCGGCGTGTTTCTTCATTTATCTTTCCCCACCCTTTTTGGACCCGCTCCCACACCTCCAATATAACTTTGGGCGTTTTCTCGTCCTTGTTGAGGCGCTGCTTGAGGAGTGCCCAGAGATGCTCGATGAGATTTAGGTTTGGAGGCTAAGGTGACCACTCCATGACCTCGAACGGCAGTTGATTCAGCCACTGCCAGACACATTCCGCCTGATGTTTCAGGTCGTTGATATGCTGGGAAATAACTTTGTTGACGTCGAAATATCGGTCGATCGTTTGCAACATTTCATCCCCAGGAATGGATACATACGAGGTGTGGCTATTAAGTTTCCAGACTTTTATAAATAAAAAAATTTTTTTTTAAACTTACAAATTAATCACATTCATCGCCTTCAAAGTACTCCCTTCCAGAACTGATACATTTATCCCAAAGATGCTGCAATTGCTGGAAACAGCGGTGGAAGTATTCTTTCGGGATGTCTTTCAGAGCCTGCGTCATATTTGTTCGAAAGTCTTCAATGCTTTGAAATCGGTGACCTTTCAAAATTTTTTTGAGTTTGGGAAACAGTCAAAAGAGTCTGGGGGCTAAATCGGGTGAATACAGTGGGTGATCCATTTCAGTGATCCGTTTGGCGATCAAAAACTCCCGGGCAGACAGCGTTGTGTGAGCCGGCGCGTTATCGTGATGCAGGATCCACGAATTTTCCTTCCACCGATCGCCGCTTCTCCTTCTCAAATCCTCACGCAACCTCTTCAAAACGTTCATGTACAACACCTGGTTGACTATTTGCCCAAAAATTTTACATTAGTTCTCTGCTCGAGGTTACACTCCATTTCCAATCCGCCAGCGACACACAAAATACGGTTTACCTTAACGGTCGCAGCTCGCAGCGCACTGGTCAGACCACACTGAAACTTGCCCAGTTATTAGCTAAGGCTCTCCCCCATGTTACAATCATATCCCCACTCCCCCCCCTCTCTCTCAAAGTTGAGCAATCAAACCAGTCTGGAAACATAATAGCCACACCTCGTAGAGCTGCTGTTCAATGGTGCCGTTCACCATGCAAATGTGGCCAGCTCCCTTTGATCGACATGCAGCCCTAGATTATGATCGAGCCACTACCGTGCTTGACAGTCTACTTGACGTGTCGAACTAGCCGAAGATTCACCTCACACTTCCAGTACCGTGCGCGTCCATCTGAGGCAAAACGGTTGATCTTGGTCTCATCCGTCAAACTGAAACGTTTCCATTCATCAATCGTCTAATGCATGTGACTTCTGGTGAACTACAGGCAGGCCTTGATATCTGCTGACAGGAGTTTTGGCTTTTGTTCCTTGTTTGCTGTATTTGAACCAGATTCGTGGAGGGCACGGGAAATAGTCTTGACTCTAACTTCGACTCCCACGCCATCCCTGAAATTCTTGGTGACCCGCATGACTGTTTCCAGCTCACCAAAGGTGACGACATGGACGTAGAATCGCTTGTCTTGAGATGAAAGCTTTTGGGGACAACCGCCATTCGACCCTGTGCGGTGAGGAAAATGCTGCTTCTGGATCTTTTGGACAGACGATCTTCCGACGTTGCATTGCTTCTCAATCTACCTGAGGCTAGCCCCCAAGGAGAAGCGTGAGGACGTTCCGCAGGGTGTCGTCAGAGAATGGACGCATGATGCCTGAATTCAAAAATGTCACTGAAGAAGAATATTGACAGTCCTAGATGAGGATGGCTTCTAAGCCATTGGATATGAGCTCATCTGACCACGTGAGGAACACAAGATATCATCTGCCAAACTTTAGTATACGCAAATTTGCGATTCTCTGAATAATTTGTCGCGTGTCACGTGACAACAACACTTCCGCGAGACGGAACCAGGGCACCAGGGACAAAACTGTTGGAATGCAGTAGTTTGCTTTTAGTTGAGATTTCTCCACAACCGTTTGATGGATTATAATGAAACTTTAGACCTTTATGGAAGGAGTTTTGTTTAAAACGTTTTGTCGCACAGAGTAATTCGTATATCCTTCACCGAGATAGTTGGTTCGAAGTAGTCCTAGTAGCTTTCGATGCGGAAGTTGCTAGATATGTGGTAAGTTTTGTCCCTCGGTGTATAATTTGTTGGTTTCATTGAAATCATGGAGAGTAAGAAGAATGCAGACATATATTTAAAAGGAAATATTGTAAATGTTCTCTCTGACCATCGCATTCCTTGGACGAGTCCTGGATGGGATGCAGAAGATCCCAGTATAAGGTCCAGTTCAGGCAATGTGGGGCGTCTTTGTGGTTATGCAACAATTGAGCGGTAACGCAAAAATCCAGACACGTCTAATTGGATTGAGAGCAACCAGGAAATTATGTTTTGAATGATGAGGAATGCAATATACGTGAAAAACTCTACCTCCTTGGTGTAAACGGTTTCATTTGTGACCATGAAGATCTTAGGGTCGAATCGCTGCATGAGGTAGGAATCTCCTGCACAATTCCCCCCATCCTCCATGTGAATTCGTTCGAACTCCATCATCTTCAGGCGAACTGAAGAGACCACTCCCAAGTTTGCGTCGAATCCTTCATCGAGGGCAAAGGTATCATCCTGGAGTTTCCGAGTGAAGAGCCTGTATCCAATGCCTTGTGAGTTGCTGTCCAGTTGGTGCGTGAAATCCGGAGCCAGGACAAGCCGAAGACCTTGCTGCTCAATTTAGGACAGAAAAGTATCACATGTTTTTCACTCCTTTGGTAGTAATCTATGAAAGAACCGTACCCAAATGTCTCTGTTCTTGCCATATCCAGAATATGAAGTTCTCTGACTCCTGACTTCTTTATTCCGGTGGAAGTTGAAAGTAAGGCATCTCCTGTTATTTGTGATCGGTTCGGCTTTGAAGTCACTGAAAGTACCAAATAACACAAAGCATAAAATTTATCCTGCAAAATTTTTCTTCGATTGCTGTTTCCTTAAGTGCAATCCTTAACTGGTCGATCAATTTGGTTAAATTTTCCCTCCAGGTGATTCAATTAGTCGCCTATAATGCATTTTTGGTAGCGAAACTGAAAGAATTTGGGCGGTTGCAGCACAATGTTACATCCACAGAGATGAATTTCCCTGCAAACTAATGATTCATATTGATAAAAGTTGCACTAGAGGTTCCACTTTGAAAAGCTTCATTGTGATGGTGAATGATAGGACCTCGCTAAAATTAGTGATACCTCTCATTGCATGGCTGCTCATTGAAGCTGCAATGGAGTATGGAATTTATTATGTCGGTATGATCCAAGGAGGTGTTTCCAGAGAAGTCGTCCCAGAGGTACGTATTTTCACCGAATAGTCTCCTGAGATAGATTATCGTATCCCGTGTCGAAGCATCTGCAAGAAAAGTACCAAGCAGGGTCCTTAATGAAAGTAACTATGAAAAAAATGCGTCACAATAATGGCGGTTATAGCATCTCAGAAATGTGAACTATAGTTCTCAGAAATGTGAACTACGGGATAGGCCTGAAACACTTCTGCGAACTTATATCTTTTTATGTTATAATTGAGTGTTGAAGTCAACTTGTAGAGACAGAGATGCCTCGGTTGTTAGACGCCGAAGGAAATCATCATGAACTCAGGTCTTAACATTGTACCCAGTGTTAATATGTTATTCCATATGCCCTCTATTCTGAAATTTTCTCCGAATAGCTTCACCTAAGAAGTTTCCTAAGAAACACGTGCTGAACTGCATTTAAAAATATTAAATATCTCTATTCTATGTTCATGTATACGTCGTACTTTCAGCTCATGGACTCTTCGATGAATAACAGGGAGTCTGAAAATTCACTCCCTATCTTGCATTTTTTCTTGCTCCTAAACTAAGGGAGATATTGAAGCAATACCTTAACTGAATAGAATATTATTCATAACCGCTTGCTTCATTACAAAATTATGAAGCTTTATTTCAATGTTAAAATTCAACATAGGCTCCAGCATTGTCCATCACTTCTGTAACATAAACAGTACATTTTCAACAGATGTTCGCAAAAAGTCACCTGATACAATACCAAGATATTTCACGATTTTTGTATTCAAGTTCATGAATGGTCCTTGGTTTTGATTCTTAGCATTGAGCATCTCAAATAATGATGAGTAGCTTCACATGGGGGTTGGAAAAAGTCTCCAATGTCGGCGTATTTGGGATTTGTAAAATAATATGTACCACTCATAAAATTCATCATGATCACTTACCACTTCCCTATCATGCTACAGTAAAGAAAAGAGCCCTCTTTGTATTTCCATGCACAAAAGACTTGTCCCTCAGTCCTAAAAAAAAGCAAAAGCAAAGCCGATTGCCGTCGCTTTTTTCAGCCAAATATCGACATTGAAAACTGTTTCTATACCGTTTGTTTCTTGAGCATTATACCTTCATTTGAAATGAATACATTCTCTGTTCCTTCCATTTCACATACATGCGACATATTTTTACGTTAATTCCTTGATGAAAAATGACAGGCTCAAGGCAATGCGCACCCGTCAGAACTTGATGAGGGTTAATAACGAAGGATTATCATCCATATCTTATCACGTGAGTGAACTATACGATATCCTTCAAATATAAAAAATCGAGCGGACGACATACAGTTGACAACAACGAAGGGTTGGACGCAGGTCTCCTGCACTCCGTTCTCCTCTGTTGTATGATTGGCTTCGTAGGCAACAGAAGGAACAGTTGCCATTGTTTCTTGGTATGAGTCATCTGGCCGATCCAGCTGCCTGAATACCTTTTCAACATCATTATCCCACTCCAGGAGTTTTTCCATTGGGCTGAACATCCCCGAAAAATCGTAAGGCAGCTTTTGATCATCCATGTTGTAAGACTCTTGTTTTTGGGAGCAGATAGTGACAGCTGGGAAAATAAGAGTATCTCGTGGCTCCATCTAGATGGCAATTTAAAAGCCAATCGATAAGTGCCATGTTCAAACTTAGAAACAATGAAAGAAGCAATGGAACATGTGAGAAGCGTCGAGATATTCTACCTGTGTAGCAGTCGTTGTAGGACCAGATATATATGCTCGTATCATATCGCTGATACCATAGCTCATGTAGCCAGTAGCAATGAGAAACACGAGAAGCCAGAATATTTTTCTGAAGCATGAGGATTCCGGGTACGCCGAACGACCCAGTGCCTGAACGAATACATAATGAACTTGCAAAATGCAAATGTAATATCACCGCAGTGCCGACAATCTACATAAATGTAATGGAAAAATGAGAGATTAATGTAACATCGTATGTGGACCTAGTGTTCTTTACCAGTTCAAACACATGTAGCATGTACGACGTGTAACGTGAGTCATGAATACCTTTTCCTGTTGGAATTAAAAAACAAACTGATGCAAACGTTCAGACGCAATGAAATGCTTATTTCATGCTTTCCTGAAAAGCAAGAGGAGTAATAACTAGATTTCTTCTTGAAAAATGCAAATACATAATACATCGGCTGTTAGTTGTTGTGTCCTATCCGCATAATTACATTAACAGTCACCCAAACAATTATTTTTTTCGTGAATTGGGGGATTCGGGCACCGCCTTAGATGGGAGCGAATTTGCCGTAACGATTTCCTCAAATTATTTCCAAGGGGCATTCAATGGCCATCGTCCCGGTTTCGGAGGCGACATACGAAAGTGAGAAAAGAGGCGCGAGGACTTTAATTTGAAATTCGTACATTTGTAGAATTCTTCTCACTCTATAGAGGCAACAGTAGGGGATCGAAATGAAGAGTTTCAAGGACATTAAGTGTATGGATAGTGTGCACCGCGATAGATCCAACTGAGTGTATAGTGAAAACATCAGGAGAAGATACGTTGGAATTATGAAACCCCAAGCGAAAATGGCTTCTTTCATCTTCAGTAGTGAATTCGTGGAATGTCACACACGACGATGTATTGGTTGTCCCAACCGTGACCATAACTAAGGAGAGGCTAGGTTCTCCAAATATATATACTGTATATATATTTAAGAATGGTAAGGCCCAAAATAGAAATGAACGCTACACACAGACTTGAGACACAATGATGGGCGGAAGAGTCCCGTAACGCCTCCATCTGAGCCACGAAGGCAAGAAACATGAGTCAATGAAGGAAAAAAAGGATGATATCGAGGAGCATGATTTTCTTAAAATAATCAATAGAAACTCCATTAAATCAGCTTAACATCAAACTTCGATGATGAAGACTTACATGTCCCGTGAATCTGTCAAGAAACCTGAGAGTGACAGGGCCAACTCCAACAGCTTCACCGCACTCATCTTCAAACTGAATCTCTGCTTCTCTCCCCATCTCTCCGTCATCGATAGCCACCTGGTTCGCCATCTTTCCCAACTCAGGGAATCTACGTAAGTCGTTCATTTGCTTCAGATTGAGTGGTCCTAAGAATAAGTCAGCACATGTATGGAATGAAACTATGTGACTGCGACTATAATAGATGTAAGCTGGGAGAAGTCTCCAAAAAATTATTCTCTTCCATGGCAAGTTGAATGCACACGGCTTTATGGATGTTTAGGAGCGATTTCAGTGTAAATACATGGAATGCATGAGTAAACCAACTTGAAATTGATATGATTTGAAATTAGCTCCATATGCTTTCCCGAAGAACACACACATACACACATTCAGAATGACATGCTTACAACGCAGCCTTCACTCATCATTACATCCCTCGTGCAATGGAAACCCAAATATTGGAGATGCGCTGGGATCTGTGAACAAATATACTCTCCAGCACTAGCAGGATTAAGAACTGGAATTGGATTAATTTGAGAATTACCTGATATGACCTAAATAATCTCCCCGTCGTCTCGTCGAGCACAACATGATCGCAATGGATCATTGCGTGCCCACCTTTGAGAAGCACCGCACACGTAATAAGAAAGGGACTGAACCGGTATTTGCGTTCGTCTATGATAACCAACTGGCGCCATATGGCTGGATAATCGAACGTACAAGATCTATTACACTGTATGACCCCTCATGTAAGGACCCAATGGTAATTAGACCGAGAATAAAAAAGGTCCTTTCATTTTTGACCTGCCTTTCCATGCTCGTAATGACATTTTCCTTCAAGATGATTTTTGATTTAAAAAAAATAACTTTATTATATGAGAACACGATTGTGGAACATACGAAGAGCCGGATTTGGGCTCTCCACGGAAATTTCATTAATTTTGCTGATGGTAACTTCCTAGCATCACGAGTAGAACTATCTCTCGTGAAGAGAAGGAATAGGCTTTCTGCATCTCATGTAGATGTAAAAAATTGACTTGGATGAAATGTATCTGCTTTTCACCGCAAAACCTTTTTTCAGATTTGAATTATTCTTTCATCTGTAAGATCCAATTAATGCAAGTTTTTCGTACTTTTTTTTGCTGGTGTATGAGTCGCGGTTCTGTGTTTCCCTGCTTGGCTGGCGGGGTTTTCTCGAGTTGAGGAACATTTGACTGAGAGGAGGAAAGTCCTTTAGATGCACGACAATCATCATCAGGGAAGATGCTTTGAAACCAAAGAAAACCGCCTTATCTTTGGAGGAGGAATTATCGTCCTCGGCAGTACGAAGCACGGAGGATGCAGATGCAGAGACAGTTTATTGGTTTCCGTAAAATTTTTAACTTGTCATTGCTTCCGGAAAGAATTCGCAGCAAAATAACGAGCCGGAAATGCTAACGGATGACAATGCCTGAATGTTCAATGGAGATTGAAGATGAGGAATATACTCTCGAGAATAGACTCTCTTGCAGAACTAGAATCTCACTTGTCAATTCTCGGCAGCTCTGACTCTGCAATGCTTTCCCGCTGTGAACATTTTCCTGATATTAGTGATTGACTTACCGGTCGGTCAGAAATGAAAAGTTTGGGCTTCTCGATGCAGGTTTTTGAAAACCCATTCCTGCCCACCCGTCTCGAACTCATTTACTCATTTCATTCATGCTCATTTTGCCAGAGGGACGGGAGATCGCTGCAAGGGCACTAAATAATAATATTCAGAAAACTCTAACATGAAACAGCGCTAAGTCTGCATGAATGAAGCATCGAGTCGATCATGAAGTATGTTTAAAAATACACGCTTTAGTGCGTGCGTTTGCGTCTTTGCGTTTCTCGGCGAAGTCGTGAAAGTTGGAGGTTGGGGGGGGGAGGTTCACTTTTGGATGAGTTATTTCTCTGCAGTACTGGGAGATTTTGAGCCAGTGCGTTCTTCTAAAGCCACGTTGCAGTAGGAGAGTGCTTTCCAGCAAAATTTGTACGGTCGTTTTCGAGAGCAAAGTTTCGGTACTCGAGGTTTAATTGCTAATTCTCATTCGGAAATGGTTTTCTGTCGTCCCAAGCCTCCGAAGGGTCAACTAAACGTATATGTGAAGAAGAGGAAATGCGATGAAGTGTGGCATTAACCTACAGCGAGGCTGTATATATCCTAAAAGGAACCATCCATGAATACTGATTGATGCCAGTGAACTAGTACCTGAATATGACCAGCTTGTCCTGTGAATCTCTCCAGGAATCAGGAAATGACAGAGTCGATGTGGACTGTTACTCCATCACTTTCAAACTGAAAGTCTTCCCTAAAACTCATTGTCCATGGTCACTCATTTCGCTATCTACTCTTTCTTGCGGGATGATCAATCCTTTAATTGTATCAGATTTTGCTGTGCAGAAGCCGAGTCGGATGAGGAGCGAAGTGAAAAGCAAGAATGTACGATATAGATAGCAATAAATGTGTTCAAGATACAGTTCTCATCAAATGCACGTATTACGCACACAGCATAATCATTCAGCGAACGAGCTAGTTCTACTAATGAGTCGAGAGTTTCCCATGAGTCTGCTAATGAACCCCACGCTTATACGTTACCGTTCTCTTACTGCTTTCTTCATCGTCACGACACGGTAATTATTGCAACACCCTACTTTCTATAAATGTTCTAATCAGAACGACGTATTGCCTTTAATTGCACATAATAATAGGCAATTTCCTGCCTAAGAGAATACATTCACTATAGGAACACTAATCGATGCACTGTGAATTTTCATCTTGTGATCCTCATGTTAGTAATCGTTTAAAGTCACTATGAATACTTCTTAGTACAATTTCATTTTGAAGGTGGTATCTCTGAAGGCACGAGGATTGCCAAACCCATGAATCAAGGAGCTTCACCGCATCATCAGGGTGAGCTTCAAAAACGGATGCTTTAAATGCATTAATAATCTTTGATCATAGAGCGCCGAAGGCGCTCTATGATCTCAGAGGAATAGGTATGATATAAGCATCTTTTTATATTCGCCAGAAAGATTCAGATGCCAGATTATGATCCTTGAAAAAACGCCACCCTGTTCTGAAGGAGCGACTTCTTCAATATTTTCCCCTCGCTGGAAGAGGATGGCTCCACAATCCTCCTCATGGTTCGAACCTAGACTGGCGCTACCTACGAAGCCCTACCAATGCCACGCCGGCGCGTATCAAATAGCATAACACTTCCACACTCAACGGGAATGTCAAATCCCATTATGAAAGATAAGAACATGCAATGAAACTACAGTGCTTTTACGAGAGGGCTGGAGCTCTGGCTTCGATTCAAGAAAAGTAAGTTCTTTTCTTCTTTCTTACATGTCGCAGAGGTCAATTCTATGTTAATACCTACTTACCTTTTTTGGCTTCGATGACTTCCAAGTGAATAACTGCGATTTCATTTAAATCGATGACATGTGTTGGCATTATAATGTAATTGTATATTTCTGCCTCGTTATCTTCTCGCAGTAAACAAATTGAAGCTGAACGGATTCAGATCTTCCAAATATTTCCGTTAATGGCTCAAAAATCGCGCAAGAATGCCTGAAGTATGCTTAATGAATATAACGTATCACCTGGTTTCCTCTGCCACTCAAATGAAGTTTCTCCTGATACCGCGATTAAGGGCTTTAAATACTTTCATAGTGCATGTGTAAAACCCAATTGGAATAGTCTACTGGGACTTCGTCACGAAATCTATTTCTCAGTGAGGTTTTCCGCGATTTGCATATAAAAAAAAAAAATTCCATTAAACTTGCCAAGTATTTCATATGAAATAGTTACTAGCTAATCAATGCTTCTGCATGTATTCCTTCCAAACTTCCTCCATTCCATCCGACTCTGGAGCCTCCTTCCACAGCATACATATGTATGCTACGCAAATGCATCACATAGTCCGAAACAGTTCGACATTATTGATTACACATTTGCGCAATACAGACATACAAACCATTGCGGCAAGACACATTCAGGTTTGCTTCATCAGCTCAGATTTCTGCCGGACTGCAAATCAAGTATTTCTCAGTGAGAACAGTTCCTAAATCTGCAGAAGTGTGCATTGACGTGGGCGTTGCGTGCAGCGGCATTGGGTGAATGCAAATTCTCAGGCAAAAATTTCATCTTCTGCCTGGGAAATGTTGTGCAAATTGAGTGACTAGGAAAATTACTATTACCAGGGGCCATGCAATGTCGCACTTGCAGCTGCTACAGTATTCACCACGACGCTGGTATTATTACTGTATACCCTTACGCCGATATCGAGTAGGACATATGCAGAAAGGTGGAAGAGAGGCGCATTTTATCGACCTGCTCTCCAATTAGCGTAACGAGGAGGTCGTTAGGGAAAAGTAACTGGATGCAAATATATACATGTACGTTTAAAGGAGTGATATTCGTTGATACAGAAAGGCCGTTCGGGATTATCAAGGAAATGTATTTTTTCCTATATATATATATATATATATATATGATAATGTTGAGACTGGCAGTATTGGATTGCTCCTACCGGTCAAATTCTGTACCTCAACTTGCGGTTCCGAAGGCAATAGTCTTTAATGGAAATTCTGCCGGTCAAAATTCCATAGAATGCCGTAATGATCCTGCAGATCCATTGCTCAGTGATTGTAATGTGACATTTTGAAAACTTCCATTGATAAAATTGATAGAGTTTTATCAAATTTGCGAAGAGTGCCCCAACATTTGTTAAATATATGCATTCTACTATAGTTTCACGGAAGAGATTCCAAAACATTGCCATGCATGGAACTAATTCTGCACTCGAACATGGAGCCCGATGACTTTCCACATCATTATTTCCTCATTTAATAAAACATGATAATAGTGTATATGCCTTGAATGCGAGTTTTGGAATGCATGCTGGGCTCTGTCGAATATCATAAACAGTCGCGTTTCATTTCATGTCCTCATTCGGCAAACCCTCTAATTATGGTTTAGAAGACAGGGGTTGGATCTCATGCAATATTTATGTGACAGTCTCCTTAGGGTCATAAATCCAATAAAGTTTGTGCCCTATTCGTCTAAGACAGCTTTCATTGGCGTATTTCAAATATGCCGACTGTTCTGATCGGCGAAATCGGTGAACGGCTGAGACTCGTATTTTCCTTGTTAGCAGCATATTATTGTCTGCTGCTGGATGGCGTCAATTCCCCTTGAATCAATGAGCTCGCAAAGAGCGGCATCTATGATCTAATGAAATTCAGCTTAGTCTCCTTCATATTCCACTTGGAACTTTTATCATAACGTTATGAAACGGTATAACAGAACAGAATCTTCTTTAAAAATAAAGAACCGGAACGCTTAGGAAGAGAACTTTCTTCAAGATGTTCGGGAATGGAACATTTCAAATACAGTTCCGAGGCCAAGAAGAGCCAATAAGCCCACAATCTCATGGAGCCAAAGACACAGAGGATACAGAAAACCTGTCGTCTACTTCCCCAGAATACATGGTGCAAGGAGTCAATAAAAATCGCGGATTCATGACGCTTTTTAATGCTAAAGTTTGGATGAAGCGCTGGTGTTATTGCATGTTCCAACTGAAAGAACCCACTGAATGGAAAAAGAATATACTCTTCCACAATCGTTATTTAGTGAACTTGGTATTCCCAATCATCATATACCCCACCTATCTGCACATGGGAGTTGTGGAAGGACTACCTAAAAGTATTGCATTGACGTAAAATGAAAGAAAAAATACACTGGATTTGTTCTCGATTCGTGCGCAATTGTGGGTTCCTTTGTCCTAGGAACGAGGGGCAAACATGAAGCAGTTGTAAAATTCATATTTTCATGGGACTTTGCTTGCTTTACAAATTCCGATTAATTTACATGCACAGGTAAACCAAATCATCAACCACAGCCAAAAATCTGCACAAAATAAAACCTACTTTTGAGAATCATTCTCGAGTATGGAAAAGTTAGCATCCCTCTGTAGCGACTACTTTGGCGCCATCTAGCTTTTCGTGTGCGAAGCGTTGCCTCAAGTCATTGTCAGATGGACACCGTTGATATGCTGAAGGAAAACATCTTAAACGTTCGACGAATGTCCTCAAAATTCCTGTACTCTTTCCTCTTCACTGAGTAGTGCACCCTCATTGTAGAGTCATTCTTGGCTTTGTGGAGGAGGTGTATCACCTCCTTTCTCAGTTCATGGCAGTATATATCAAACCACGGCTTCCAGGGCATCCTTCTAGGTCTGATCACTGATACTGCGTCCGAGATGGCCGTCTTCAGGTGTAGGAAGGCCTCATCAATGTTTCCCCTTAGGATGCATGGGGCCACTAGCTCGAGGTTTTCATTTGCTCCAAAGCGCTGACAATCAATTTTACGTCCTCTTCGTGGTAATATCTTCTGCACCTGGGCTTTGCTACTTGACTCCTAAGCAGGCAGCTTCCATCTAACAGTGCTTGCGGAGTGGCGAATGGCTTCCCGCATCACACTTCCAGGAACGTACTGACTTGATGGAGGCATTTGTGAAGATGAGATCGATGGTGCTCTTCCCATTGTGGCAGAGGTAAGTTGGGGTTATGGGGTCATTCACCATGGTATATCCTGAGGCAAAGAGGAGGTTCTGTAGAGCCTCGCCTTTATCAGAGAGGATATCTGACCGGGCATTGAAGTCCCCAGTTAAGATTGTTGGTAATTCTTGGTTGATATTCTCCAGCGCTCTTAGTACCACTTCCAACATCTCCTCTACTTCGCACTGGGGCTGCACATAGCAGCATACCAGGTTGCACACCTTAGTTTGAACGACCACGTATGATTCGCTCTTGAGGAGTAACGATGGTTCCATGAAAGGTTTCACAGCAATTGTGATACCACCTGATGGACGCCCTCTCCTCGCTCTCTTCATTGCTGGTGAGTTGAATGTATAGAAGCCATTCAACTCGACTGGTTCTTCTGCAAAGGTTTCCGTGAGTAGAATGACATCGTGCTTGGAGAATACATCTTCCGGGCTAAGCTTCATTAGAAGCCATTCAACTCGACTGGTTCTTCTGCAAAGGTTTCCGTGAGTAGAATGACATCGTGCTTGGAGAAAACATCTTCCGGGCTAAGCTTCAGGATGGATTTCAGGCCCTCCACATTCCAGAGTAGCGAGCTGAACAGGGCATTATGTTGTGAGGTTTTCTTCCGTTGGGTTTCTTTTCCGGCTCGAACGCCTCGGTGGGTCTTTCGTTGGCTGACCCTTGCGCCCCTCGCTCGTAAGCCTAATCCTGACGACGGGTCGGTGTTCTCCCCACCAGATGGTTTCCGTAGGCCTAGGTCTCCGATATGCCCAAGTACTTTTTGGTCTATCTGCGTGTGTGCTTCTAGAGTTATGGAGAGTAGAATGTCCCTACCATATCTTAGTGAGTTCACACGTGAGATCAGGAGGAGCAGAATCGCACATAACGTAAAATTTCTTGAGAGAGAGAAACAAGTGGGAGTCGCCATCTTCTTGGCGCGCTCGGCTTTCCAATATTTTAATTATATTCAATAGTCTATATATATTTGAATACCAAATAAACGGTCTCATTAATTGCCGTATTAAGGCCATTTTCGCGCTCGTTTAATGTCGTCATTATCGGTCTTGTGAAATTGACATCAGCAGCTAAAAATCCACAGCGCCTGGATAAAGAATTTCCCCTAGGACGAGACCGGACTAGGGCAGACTGCGATGCAGGCGATGCAGCCTCTTATTACTGGAGCCATCAGGGGAGAGGCTGCGCACTTGCGCAATGACCGACGTGAGGGGAGTGAGTGCCAATTTAGGAACAGCTTCTGGTCCAAACGAGATGCTACGTTTGAAACGTTGTTTTCTCGACGTACCAAGTACTGGCAATGGTAATTATTATCCCTATTCACTCGGGAGAATCTTCTCTATAAAATGGTCTGATTACTTTTTGTATTTTTCGCCCTTGAACAAGAGTAAAACGCCAGGAAGTGAAGAACGGACAGAAAAAGTGTCAATTTCCTAGGATATTCGAGTACATTCCAGAAAAACGGCTTGAACGATTCCCACGAAACTTGGCGTGGGGATAGAGATGGGTGTTCCCCTAAATCTGATACATGTTTTTCTCTGAAATGAATCTCTTCTCGAAACGACGGCGGAAAAACTAACGATCCAGAAACAAATTCAAACGCACGTGACTGGCGGAAGTCCAAATGACATAGCGAACATCTTTGTTTTCGGCAATACATTCTCTTCTGGTGCAGACAGAGACTTTCCTATGGTGTCATTTTAACTGCCAAATTTACTTGTTTAAAACGATTCTAAACATTATTCTCCAAAGCGAAAACAAGAAGTTTTATTTGGGATATGGATATATGGATATCCCATATCTCGTATGGGATATCCATGATGTTACGTCCTCTAATCAATGGACAGTTGGTGGGAAAGTCTACCGTGTTCCTCGTACGGATTGTCTCCGAATTCCCAGTTGTGAAGGATCAGACGACAAAAAATACAAGCCGTCTCATCGCGGATTCCCGTATAATATAGACCCCATCTTGCCATTTCACCAGTAGATACGATGTATCTTTTCGGGAAGAACTCAAACGACCAGAGTCGTCTGGCATGGCACAGCATCTTCTTCCGGTTGGCGTTGATATCTTCATCGTCAGATGGATAACCCATGCTCAGAGCACGAGGAGAAAATTCCGCGTTCGAAAGACATTTACAGTTAGCAGGGGACACAGCCAATTCATTTCCTTATGACATTGGTAGACATTTGGCGGAGTGGAATATGCTTCGTAGCCAGGAGGCAAACGACGATGTCGCGGACGAAATGGTTTCACTCGTTTCGCTGGTGATGAAGAAGGTCTTCAAACTGCATTTTCCTCGGCAAAATGCATAGCAAACGATGAGCTTTGATAATTCTTCCAAGTTGTCCTGTATTGTCGGATTGACGTCCAGATGGAATCCCCACCTGACGAGCTCCGACACATTCACGTAACCAGCTATTGCAGGAACAACTTTGAAAGTCTTCCTGCGTTCCTTCTCGGTGAATAACGCGAGGGCGAAATTATAGTTGAGCTTGACGTGCGCAGCGTCAGTGCTAACAACTTCCATCTTCTCGACTGAATGAAAGTGACACCAGGATATTCGAATCTTGTATATTTTCTTTCCCTGCATACTCGTTGCTCCCATCCGCAACTCTGGGTTAATGACCGCGAGGGGGGGGGGGTTGTGTAAAAATTGCGCGACGCAAGAAGGGGGCCAGCACGATCAATCTGCCATCGGGAGATAACGTGTCCAAGCACGTTGGCATGATGGAATCTTTCATCCGACCCTATTGACTTCCCTGATGCAAAACAGTAATGACGAGAGATTCGAATCAATTAAACTGGGATTTTATGAAGCAAGATTCATGCCATCATATTTTCCAATTCGAAAAATCGCTTCATGAAGGTACATGGATTGTGCAAATCATCGTGCAGCGATAATTCAACGTTAATTCACTGAGTACTCGTATAAATCAATGATATGCTGAGGTTAAATCATATGAAATTGTGGTTATATAATTAATAAGATATTGCGCCAGGCAGCTCCAGCCCGCAGAACGTACTTTTCTTATACTACTCTCAACATGAAGTCAGGAGTGCTATTCTTTTAGAACACTTGCGCACGTTTGGTACGATGTGGAGGAGCACTATCTAGTATGAAAATGTTGTCATGATTTGGGTCCAATTGTCTGCATTGAGAGAAATTATGGAGCTCTCCATGAGCTCCACGTAGTTCTCTTTATTTACCTTCAACAGCTGTGAATCCACGAGAAAAAGTCTCCGTCATGTTCATCCTGGATGGTGCTCCTTCACATCGTGCCAAAAGTGTGCATGAGTACTTAAAGAATAACACATCTAACTTCATTTGAGAAAATAAGTGACCCTCCTATTCTCGAGACTTAAACCCGATTAAAAACCCGAGGACCCGATCAAAAATCTCTTCTGTTGAAGTCAGTCGCACTTCTTTACTTGTCCTTTTGATATCGCGCTGAAGAAAAACTGTTACTCTGGAAGTTAACAACCAATTTCATTGAAAATTTTTTTGACATTACCAGCACATATTGGATGTGAAACCATGCAAAGTTTCCGTCGATAGCTCATATGATATTCCGCATGCAGGCGTGTAAAGTTCGGAATGTTTTTTGGGTGTGCCACCCGATCATGGTTGGTCTCTTTCCTCCGTAAGCCTCCCAGGAATGGCCACCAAGCCAGGTGGGGGGACGGAATGAAATTCGCATCTTCTAAAAGCAAGTTGCAGTTTTCCACAACCACTGGAAGATGGAGCGTTACATTAGCTGGTGGGATTCTGTGTTGAGTGAGGAAGAAACCATCTCACTTTCGTTTCTATTGATGATCTCAGAGAAGAATACGAAGAGTTGAATTTTGTTACGGGAGGGGGTTGAAGATGTAGGAGGTGCTACTAAAGGCGATTGATGGATGATGCAAGTGCCAAATGACATCAAGAGATATGTGAAATATGTAGTTTGGGAAAATATATGTGATTCAAGACCTGACGGAAAGAAATCGCCAAAAATGAAAAATTCAGAAGTTTTGCTGGTTTCGAAAAGTAAGAAATATATATTTGTGAAATAATAATCGGGCTTATTTCCATGGGTACGCAGTACGTACTTTCAAGTACGCAATAAATTCTTTTCAGCCATTTATGTGCATTAGTATAGGAGGTATAGTAATTTGAATGTTGGGAAAACAGTTATCGGCCAAGCAGCCCTTTTATCGAGCCACCTCTTTATGAATTTTTTTTCCGAAACACTTGCAGATACAGAGGTAAATCAGCTACCATATTTCATTACTTGGATAAAAGGACCACTTATATTTGTCTTAAAATAAATCCGGGACTAAATGCATCCTTACAGGCCCGGCCTGACTAGAAATGGAACCAACCGTCAGAATGTTTCGTCCATGCGGACCCAGATTCTTCTATCAAAGAAATGTATCACCAGTCATACAGGGTGTTCGTGTTTATGGTGGAGTCCTATCCTTCCTGAAAATTCAGCTGGGGGAAAAAAGGGGTTCATAAATGTCGCATAGTGTCTCCTTGCCCCTCTTTTCCCTTCGGGTTCTCTCCGATGGAAAACATATTTTTGCAACTCATGAACCTCCAACAGGTGTCATATCTGATCGAGGGGACCAGCTTCTTCCTTTCTCCTTTACTTTCCGGGTTCTATACTCGATCGCCTCGAGACATCGGTGGAGTCATACCGTTTCAAGACATAATTTCGACTTCCGAGTTTTATTTTATAGTGACAGGCCTGTGATGCATGTTATCACAATCAGGTCCATCAGGTCACAAACCTTGTCTAGATTTTTTTTAACTCAAAAATTATTTTTTCTCCCTTCTTCCTCGACATTGCATTACATGAGCATGATAGAGCAGGCTTTTGGTCCTCAGTTTTTTATTGTTAGGTCCCGAGATCACTCTTTGTAGGGGAGAATCGGTTTTAGGGATTCATCATTACAGGAATCCTAACGCTCTCATCGCTACGATGCAACAGCTTCCTTCAACTCTTCCTCTGAATAATTGCGGCTCTGAGTTTCCTTCTTGACTTTGTTCTTCCCTGCCTACAACCATGTACCTCGTCCTCCAGACCTAAACACTTTCCAGGAAGGATGCTTCCAGCACCTATACCATTTCTTCGCTGAGGTCTGGTTGTTTCGCCTGGGGGACCATCAATATTATTGTGACATGTTACATCCCCTACATTGAGAGGCACTGCTGTCCTGCAGGACTTCTTCCACTTAGGCCTGATCACAGGAAATCTACTGCCTTCATAGTCTTGATGCAATAGCCCGATGATCCAGATCTTCAACTCTCCCACTGAACAAAAGCGGTAATTGGGAGTTTCCCCTTTGACTTTGATTCTCCCAGTGACTACGACCTTTTACCTCCAGGAACCTACGGACCTATCCCAAAGAATCCTTGAACAATGTCAGTCTTTCATCTCACCCCGCTGCATCAATCGAAGAAATGCATTTCATCATCACTTGTCACCCAGTGTGTTTTCAAGGATGGCGCCTCCATTCATACCGAACCAGCTTGATTCTAAACCCAAGTTTTGAGATGGGAAAACCTCATTCATGGACATGATGAGCAGAGGGTGAGCATCACCCTCCCCCACCCCGACAGAAATTCGCATGCAGATGGTACAGTGGAGGGAAGGCAATGAGAAACCAGACTCGTATTGAGTATTGTGACTGACCGTGGTATGAGTAGTGAGGGTGGATGTGCAAGAGGCATGATTGAGTTGAGGGAGCGCCCCCATTGGATTTTTATTGTGGACTCCCATGTTCTCCCACCCAATCATCCGAAAGGCCCGGCAGTCATGTTATGAAACACACCTGACCCAGTAATCGGGAGGCCCGGGTTCAATTCCCGGCAGTCCCCTGGCTTTCTTTCGTTCTCTCCTCCAGCAAATCATCATTCCGGGCCATTCTCATGACACTACTATGCTCCTGCTCGAGGTGTGTCTTTCACATAATATCACAGAAACATTATTGAAAAAAGACGGTACACTGACGCACGAATGAAGTAATTTCCACGCAGTAAAAGAAAAAGGCATTCACTGTTTGGTTTTTTTTTTAGTGTTTCTCTTTCTATTCCTCCCCTGTCTACACTGTAAAAAATAAAGGTTCAAGAGTGAAACTTTTATTGAACCATTTTCGTTGAAGAGATGATACTGATTCCAGGAGCTACTACGATCTTAGATCGTTCACAAGGCAGAACATGAACGCTACGACCTAGGACAGTCAGACGATCACTCCAACTGATAACCATTACACACATTTAGTGAAAAACGGTTCTACTCTCTAAAAGTAAAGGTTCGGATTGGAACCATTTTCGATTAAACATTTATAGAATCATTTTCGGGGATTCAAGCCTACACGAGCTGAAACTGCTTCACTCTTGGAGTTACCAGGATCTGAGGACTTTGACACGGCAGATGATCAATCCTAGGAACTGAGACATTCATATGATCACTCCCACGAATAACTACTGAGCAAAGATCGTGAAAAAAAATGATTCTAGGGAACAAAAAAAACTTAGATTCTTGCAGAGCCCCATCCTTAATAGTTCAAGAGCTACCAAGTTATTATTATGCGTCAATATGTCAAATAGTTTTTTAAGTGAACTTTAAACTATTCCAAATGGTCTCTTGATCAGCGAAAACCGCTCTGAAAGCTGAGGGTTCTAGTCCGAACAAGTATTTTTTACAATGTAGACTGGGATTCCTCGGGGGGAATTGCTCGCCCTCTGTTCTTCACATCCATGTAGGTTCTCTCAAGAACCATCCAGGGCGACCGGCTAATAGGGAACAAGAGGGGGTCGAGCTTCATTTACAACGCGTATTTATTGTCGCTTGGGACACGCTCGTCACCTGGTTTTGGTGAATGTAACCAGTCCGTTATAATGGGACTCTATGGCGGAAACGTTTTGCTCAATTTGAATGAAAAGGCGAAAGTTAAGGAAGAGCCGCTTGGTGCTTTGGCTCGTGGTGAAAATCTATTTGGCTTGATATCGTGGTTTTGTTATCGATCTTGCCGTCTTTGATATGCACATTTAAGTACTGACAAGTACTTGATGATGTACTAGGTACTACACTTAATGGAAGGAGCTCCAAGACTGTAATCCAATGATATATTGTTTGTAGGGAAGAGAGGGAGCACTTCAGCAGGAGAGCGCATTTCAATTTTCAGTAAACGAACACCCTGTGTATTTAGTTCCTTCTATGCCATAACTTAACCGCCATTCCCATGTATTTATTAGGCCATGAGTCCGGAAGCCTTACATGCGCAAGCTCTTTGAATATCGAAATAAATCAAGGATTACTTCCATGCTTCTCCATCTCTGTTTATTGACGCTTCATCGCGAATCTTCCATCAGTTGGAAGGGATGTCGCGCACAGATCCGAGATATTTCTTGCAGACGTAGGGAAGGCGAATTTCGTCGGAATCGTCTCCGTCGACTCGCTGCTCCGCCCCGGCGTAAGCGAATCCATCTTCGAAGTGAAAGTTCTCGTGGAAGGTTGCTTCCTCGTAACGACTTTCGTCAGCCCATCTCAATTTCTGGTCGAGTTTTTGGAGTCCGATCCAGACGGGTGACGATGGAGCATTTTCACCTGAGACATGGATAATATATACGTAAAAAAATATGGAAGTGATACAGATGTCAGTGTTCAATCCCATGCCACTTTGGATTCTGGTTCGACTCGAGAACTCATTTTCCTTTATACGTATGGTTTCGATTATTTATATTCACCATGTTTTACATACCTTTTTGCATTGGTACTCTGAAGACGACAGATGGTGATGAACAGGAAAGTTACCTAGTACTCATGGCCAAGTTATAGATTTCGGGATTCCCTCCAGCTCCATAAACAATACATTAAATCGAACAGCCTTGTGGAAAAACTAAAAAATTATTGCTAAGATTGCTCGAGGAGACGGCGAAGGAAAGCTTCGAAACCAAAGAAGCAAGAAATGTGTCAATATACCAATGAAGGCATTCTCCTCCTCGCTGCGAACGCTTGCCAGGTTGGCCCAGTTTTCCTCGCACTCCAGTTGCGCCTCGCTTCCAGTCTTCGGCTCGTTCGCGAACAAGTAGCAGGCTCCGTCGTGCTCCAGCCAGCCTTCTTCGCATTTCGCATAGTAGGCCCAGTAGTCGAGAAGGAATCCTCTGAGGGCATGATACATGGAAACAAACACGTTATCAAAATCAATCGAACGACAGTAAAACGGGTTGGGTTCTGTTTATCTGTCTCACCTTCTTGTAACGGAGCCGTCCGTCTGGAACACGAAGCTGAGATAATTGTGGGCTTCGTAAAACGGACCGAGGGAGTCAAAGTACCCACAACGGGTCTCCGACCACCCGGTGGCAGGGCAACGAACGGTGATGCTGTCGAACTGACAATACTCATCTTGCTCGAGGTCGAAAGAGACGTACTCGTAATACATGTAATAGCCCGATGGGAGGCTGATAGTGTACGTGCAGTAGGCATTATTGTAGTAATTAGATGGGTAATTCGGAGACCAAAAAGATCCACTGGACGCCGTGAAGAATCCGCCGCATTGGCCATCCACCGATGAGCCCAGCAGAAACACCGAGAGCAAAAGGCTGAAGATCCACATTTTGCCAGCTGTTTTTACCTTGTTTTCCCTTATTGGCCCTGCCCTTTTATATGCATGGCGAGCGACGTGAACTTTCGGAAAGCCTTCATCTGGTACTCCAGGAAAGAGATAAGGTGGTGTAAAACCAGAATTCTATTTCTGAAATCACGTGCCGATTATGAAAGTGGGAAGCTTGCAGCTGCAGGGACCCCGATCGGCACGCAGTTTCTTCTCGCGTGGATTGCGCAACATTTCCAACCAGACGTATCCGCAATCGCTAAAGATTTCCTTCTAGGCGAATTCGCGCATTTTGAAAATGCTGTGATCTGGTATGCCTTGCCATTCTACTGGCGTCCGTACAGGCTAAAGGACTTTTTGCGACTTCGCAGAGCAGTTTATTAAAAGGCTGATACTACGAAGTGGAAGGGATACGCAATATAAAGGATCAATACGTGTATACAGTATTTGTTCCTCCCACTCACTAGCACTCCATAGAAACACTCTCGGCCTCTGACAGCTCCATCTGTTCTAAAGGTCCTCATCATTCATCACGTCCTCATCACGAACGCACCACGAGGAGGAGTCTCTAATAACTTTCCGGTTACCCAGCAAGTCGTGATTTTCCTGACTTGCAGAACTACCGAAGTTATGTGTCTAATCCAGAACCCCGCAGATGAACCTTCTGAATAACCAGGCTCATCAGGCCCTCGTTTCACCGATGCGGAGAGAGTCGTGGGCGCCTTTCCGACGAGTGAGGGGCGAGGGCCTTCCTCTTTCACGAGCGATTCAGTTGGAAACTGAAGATTTGAAGGCCGGAGACCAGAGGCTAAATTAATGATATGCAGTGTCAGTCTTTGCCTTTACTCGAGGAAAGTAAAAGCGCGATATCTCCCGCGTTGAGGATAAATATATGGATCTAGTTATGAGAACGAGCGTGCAACGTTCATTGACTTTAGGTGGTACCATCTCCATCGGCACCTTCACTAACGTTGTCCGAGGTACTCGAAGCAGGCCCTTCACCCATTGGCATATGATTTCATCTAATAATAATCATTATCATGTTCAAAACTGAGTTTTACATGAGAATATGGTTTCAAAGCCTATGAAATGCAAAGAGAAACTATTAATGTACATGAATAGAGCTATGCATGCCCTTGCTATCGAGTGCAATTTCATGCATTTCATGTGCATTTCAATTACATTCGCACTGAACTCGAAAACAACGGCCGTTAACCTCTTCACTGTGCTGTTTCCACTACACATTCCCATTATTCAGTACGGATTCTGGCATAATGTTAAGCCCTACACAATAAAAGAGGTGAGTTTACTCAGCATTACAATCTCCAGTAACACGTCTCAGAACTAAATGCTGCATTTTGTGTCCGAGGTTCCCGATGAAGCGCGCGAACTTCTCGGATATACCGGCAAATGTGAAAATCATTTTATGATCGCCTCCAGCTTCCCATCCCAAACTAAGCAACAAATGTGCAGTAAATCAGATGGAATCGTTGGTGGACTCAATGGGTTTTGTGAGAGTTGGTGCGAGGGGGGATGGCAAAATTGTTACCGATATTTCGCATGATGTTAGTGGAGATGATTAAACTTCAGGTTTATAACAAACAAAGGTTCGCTTCATAAAAGATTAATAATAATACATTTGAAGCATCCCTTATTCCCGTTCCTCTTTCCCGTCGGATTCCGCTGGGAAGCAGCCGGCCAGGAACGAAACGGCGGCGAGAGAGCCCGTTGCGCGCTCGGGATGAGCCGATCGTCGGCGACAATCGTGTCGTTTTTCCTTCCGTCGATCGGCGAGGGGACGAGGGAGTGGGGCGAGACTCCGTTGACATGTGCATTAAATTCCCTGGGATTTCCTACGCCGAAAGGAGAGAGGAAACATTTTCACGGCGCACTCCATTAGAATAAGTTGCTGAATACGATGCTTGTTGCGAAAGGTCGCATGGATCCGGATTTTCCTCATTTTTATCTCGATCCAAGATCCGTGAGACTTGCGGCACACGCCGGAGATCCTCCGAGATTTCACGATTTGCCAATCTGCTAGAAGTTCCTTGTCCCCGTTTCACTGAAGAATTTATATTGGTACGGAAACGATTAAGATTAAAGACCAATTTAAAATTCTATGCTCGTCTCTAGAACGTCAGCAGTCCGGTCGCAATTGGCATCTTATCCCTATGCGTCATGGGGGTGTTTCGAAGCATCATAGTTTTTGGCGCCTGCCATGACGGCGAAGCCGCCCCTAAAGAGTATCTCAGTATCATTGGTGCTATTCAGGTTCTATTCTAGTGCTATTCACTCAGAAATCAACGCCTCCTATTCATTTCACGTTAAATCTTTACTAATAGTATGCAACTTGCTTGAAAACTGTGGGTATCCTTGCTAAATACTGGACAATTTTTCCACTTGTTTCCCATCGCGATCAATGTACGTTCACCTTTGAAATAAATGTACAATGTACATTTATTTCAAAGGTGACAAAATCTGTGCCATCCTAACCTCTCATACATGGGAAGTTCAAGTCAAGCAATCCTTGGTCGAGCGTTCGTAGCGTGAGGACGTATTGGAGGATACTCTCGAGGTTCTGTCAGCTAAGTCGTGAGTTAGTTGTTACCTGGCTACTTTGTAGCAGTATTCATAAGTTTTCTGATAGCTACCTCCGACTTCACATTAGATCAGTATCAATCAGCTTAATTANCAATAGGAGGGTCAATAGGGATCAATAACATTAAGTAAGATGCCTAGGATGTGTAGATGCGTTCGTTGCGGGGATTGGGTAGGTGGGACTAGTGAACGAGAGGTATGCCAGGTATGCATAATATGCTCTCCTTCCATACTCCTTCCATGAACGATCGCCGGCGTCGGCAGCGCCTTGTTTCACTCATGGATTACCGATAATACGTCCATCAACAAACTGCACAGATCCACCTTCTCAGCCCATATCGGAACACCTTTTCTTGCTCCCCGCACTAAGATATTTGCAGAGTCACCTGGGACGGTTCTTAAAGGGTTCCCTGGGGCCGTTAATGCATGAGATATGGTGACGGTTGGACCGAAAAATCATTTTTAGGGCCTACGAGAATTCGTATTATTCATTACTTGACCACAGCCGCGTCCCGCGGAATCCATTTCGCGAGTGACAAAATCTCAAAAGACATAAAGCATTCCGTGTTGGATGACTTCCGAAGTGGACTACCCCCACCCAGGCCATTGCGTCTACTGACTGCGCGATGACCTTCCCAGGCATGCGCACTGTACTCTACTCGGGTTTTCCTATGCCCTACTGGTCTCATATTCGTTGTTATGGTTTCATCGCATTGGCACGGTTAGTGAACCTCAATGATTTTTTTTCCCCCCAGGTCGATGTCAAAGGCCAAAGAATGAGAAAATCAACCTATTTTAGGGGAAGATGGGTCAGTTGGGTTAGGAGAGGGTTGCGCCCTTCGGCCGCAAGTAATTTCTAACCCAACTCACCAATGGTCCCCCAAATTAATTTGACTTTCGCGCTCTTTATGCCAAACATAAAAATATTGCCACTCGCTTTATCTGTGTTTATCCGATCTTCTCAGAGGTTAGCTTGGGCTTATATAATGAGAAATCAAAAGCACTGATGAAACAGGCTGAGTGTGTAGCACCCAGGTGATTGAATTATTCTTTGGGGGAATACGGGGTAGAAGGCTGTCAGTTCCAAGGACAACGGACGCTATCGCCCTCCATTCAATGTGGCTAACTCCGTGTTGAACGTCCTCGCGTCTGCCACTCCATGCTTGGCTGGGCTCAAACCCGTAGTTCTTAGAATTAACATCGCTACTTCTTTTCTTAGCTTTCCCGGCAACATAATGAACAAACGCAACATACTCATGCTTGCGATTGATGTATCGCTTGTACCAATCGACGGGTGGTCCACTTCGGAAGTATTTCCCTTAACGGTAAGTTTTAATTATCAGTAAAATGCTTTAAATTAGAATCACATGTAAAGGACATCGTTGATATCCAACAGACTGCGCAGTCCGATCCAAGAGAGAGCACTAAAGAAGTAGCAACAGGGAAAAAAAAACCTGAAAAACTTTTAAATTAAATAATCAATTAGAATGTTATATTTTTTTGTGCAAGCCTACAGACCGTGGCAATTAATATGAGACCACTCTCACCTTCATAAAACCTCTCTTTCAAAAGTAAGAGTAAATAAGTGTAAGAGAAAATACAATTAGTAAGGGGATGAGGTAGGAATTTCAAAGTTCCACGTTTTGGATCAATAATATTAATAATGCAGTACTAGCGGCCTTCATCTACCGTACAGCGTTGATGAGGAGTGAGAAAAAAGTTTAAGAACAATCTAAACCAGGTTCCCGCTGTCAAAACCTGGAATCATCGCCTGATTTTTGCGCGATGTTCAGTATGTGAATCCGTGCGGTGTACAGGAATTGTTTGCCAGTGCCACTTGTTCCACTCATAACATCGACGCACTTCCCGTTCCGAAATGTCATGCGCTGCTGCAATTGAATCACTTCATCCGCTTTATAAACGAATAGTTGAGTATATTCTAATTATTGATTTTGATTTAGAGGAGGAAAGACATTATCAAATGGATGTAGACTGGTCGTAGTCAAATTATAGACCTCGCCGGATGCTTTGAAGGAGTAAGGACCGTTTCCGGAAGTGTCAACAATCGTTCCACCAAAATGAAGCAAATGCGTTTGTTACAATGCCTGATCAACTCGTAAAAATTGCGATCGTTTGCATCCTTCCCCATCAACAACGTTTTCAACTCTGGCCGAAACTCCAATGCAATCGAATGAAGCATCGTAACATGATCGTGACGACAACCTTGCCGAAGTCTTCACTTCGAAGACGAGTGAGGCAAAACCTAGCAGTGCTCTACAGAGTACTCCACTTTCATAGGGATCGTGCGGAACGGCTGGAATGATGTTGGGCGTCCCAGCCGACGCAGCGAGAGTGTGGGTTAAAGGTTCGACGCGTACACGCACTGCTCTCCGCACAGCGTTAACAGACTGATGTTACTCTACAATTAGTGCATCTCTCCTCCGAGCATCAACGTCATTTTTTTTTTTTTTT